TTATTAATTTTAAAAAAATTTTTTAATAAAGTTTGTAAAGTATATTTTTAATAAAATATTTTATAAATAAACTGTACTTCATATTATTAATAATTTATTGTGTTATTTAAAAAATACTAAATTTAATTTAAAAATCTAGGCAAATTTGTATAGAAAACAGTTTAAGAGATAGTTTAATTCAATTTTAACTAAATTTTCATTATATAAAATCATCAGAACTCTTAACTAACTTCCTAATAACAAAGCATGTAAGCTATCTAAAATTAGTTATGAAATGCTAAAATAGATTAGTTTTACTTTTTTTTAAACAATAGTTGTTTTTTTTAATTGAATGATAATTATTACCTGTTGATAATTAGCTTTATACAACTATAACTTAGATATATCAAGTTAAGTTTTATCTGATATTAGAAGCTTGAAACATCTATACAAAGTATAATATTATATATATATAAAGAAATATTAATAACTAGTATTAGAGGTGTGGTGACCTAGTGAAGTGAATAAGTTGTTAACCTCCAAGTGACAGGTCTAAGGTTCAATTCCCACAGATGACAAAATTTAAAAATTATACCTGTGTTACAGTAACTGTCTCTACTAATTGGTTGGGTTTTGAGCATCTGTAATCTTAGGTACATCAAGTCAGGCCCTACCTGATATTGGGAGCTTAGGTCATCTATGTGAAGTGTAAAAACTAATGTCATATAAGGCTTTGGTGCAAACCTATGATAAGACCCCCAGGCGTAAAAGGCTAAGAAACCGAAAAGATAGAAACTCACTTGGAAATCCTGAGTAAAGAGGTAGTACAAACTTTTAATAATGCCATTGGACTGATGGAAGTCTATGAAACACCTTTATAGAAACTGTTGAATAAACCAGATGACAAAGATGTATAGAGGAGCATATGACCAACCAGGCCACTGGAATCATCAGAGGAAAAAATATATAAGTATACCATACTGGGCTATCTGGATTGAGAGTCTGAGAAGTTGGTTAGTTCTGAGTTGTGGCTAGTAGAGAATGATAATGAAGAAGTCAGAAAGATGGGTATCAGAGTTTGGATAAACTTTACAAGGGTAATAGCAGTTTAAAAAGTAATCCTAACTGCAAGTATTGGTCTCAGCCATAGCGTTAAAACTAGATTAGTAGTAAAAGTGAATACAGCTTACTCTGGTAGGTTTACCTTGAGGATAACTGTCCTATAGTTAAAAGCAAATAGATCTAAGTCTGTGATCTGGTAAAATTAATATTAGAGTTAGATCAGAGGGTTTAAATGAAACATCTAAGCAGGGGTATTAAGTATAGCAATTGGTAGGGAACCCTTAAACAGACTCCTTAAATAGGTAATATAGAAAAGTTATACGTTTAGCCAGTTGTATACTCATCTAATAGTTCAATATGAATATGTCTGTATAAAACATGTACCTGATATAAGTATTAATAAAAAGCTAGTACCAAAGAGGTCATCTTAATACCGAAAAAAAAATAACTAGTATTGCATAAAACTTTAGTCCAAATCTACAATAAGATCATTAGGTTTAGAAGACTAAATACTAAGATAACAGAAAACTACTTAAAAATTTTTAAATAAAGAAATAATATAGATTTTTGACAATATTATTAGACTAGTTGAAGCTTACAAACTATCTTTATAAAAACAGATTAGATAAACTAAATATCAAATATATATACAAGAACATATAACTAATTAGATTACTAGATTTAACAAAAAAAAAAAATACAGAAATATATTACATCAGATTATTTAAATTGGTAGTCTGATCAGAATTTGCTGATTCTAAACTGCAATTAATAGAAGATAATAAAAAAGATGCTAGAAAAATGAGTACTAAGGTCTAGTAAACTTTACAAAAATAAAAATAATATAATGTAGTAGTTAAACAGATAACTCCTATAATTGCAAGTGTTAAGTAACTATAACATATTGTATAAAACTAGATCAACATATATAAAACAGATCAGATTTTAGTAAATCTTTTGTCAAAGATAAAATAATTCTAAAGATACTGACTATTATTAGAAACTTGGATGAGCAGTGTTCTGAAGATGTTCTTGTAATACAAGAGAATTGCATATACAAAGAGTTTAAATAGACAAGATTTATAATTGACTTACAAGTATGATATCTAGTATAGAACTTGTATAGTAATATATAAGCAGATTACTTAAATTAGGCATCAAAAATGCATATGTAACTAGTTGTAATTACCAATATAAAGAGGCCTTTAAAGGCACCTATGTCTTACAAAAACTTGAATAAAATATTACTTCTTAAAGATAAGAACTTTAACACAAAAAAAAATAAAAAAAATTGTATTAATTTAATTAAATTAAAATATTAATTATATTAGTTTAGGTTACAAATAAACTAGTCTGAGCTTTTATTTTTATATATAATTTTTATTTTGTTATATATAATCTTAGTTTATTTTAACACTTTTGTACTAAAATTTATAGTTAACATTATTAATAAAAATATAAGGCCTCATCTTAATACCAAAAAAAATTATTAATTATAAAATTTTTATTATATCAATATATAATGTATCAGAAGTGACAATATTACCTATACTATGAATGTTTTTATAAATCATCTAGGTAGCTCTTATACGGATACGATCTCTAAGTTTAACATAATCCATAGGTATTACAAATGCCACATGCCGTTATAATATACGCTGCTCACCTATCGCTAATTATCTTATATTATAAAGTTGCTGAATATTAATTTGTACTTAGTGAATTGAACCGAAAAAAATATACTCAATCGGTTAACCGAGCCGGATTATTTTATGCCAACCGATTACAACCGGTCGAGATTAATAATCTCTACTTCTTGTTCTTACCTCGGAAATTTTTGGAGCTTCACTCAAATTTTTGGTTCAACCTTGCTCGTCTCTTATGTTCATTCAGTTCCTTTTCGGAATCTTTGCTCTTTATTGGTCATTTACATACTTTATCGATCCTATCAACTGGTTACCCGATTCTCGACCGCTTGTACCGGATCAATCGATTAAGAATTTGTTCAACCGGTTATCCGAAATTTATTCGGGTCGGGTCGGTTAACCGATTATAGCCCAACCGGTTCAAATCACTACTTTGTACACATCCAATCACTCGATAGCTGACTAATATATGGGTCACTCTCGATATAGTGGAGATTTGATATAATGAGTTACAGTATTATTAAAATTAAGTTCGGTATAATGAAGCACATTACATATAATATTCACTCGATAAAAACTATGGTGGTTACTTTATTCCCAGTCTAATGGCATCACTATAAAGAAGCTATTTGTATACTCTCAACTTACTACTTATGATACATCTACTTTAGTACCAAATATTGTTGATAACTCATTGTTTAATAATTCATCCAATGTTGTATTGTCCCGACGGTAAAACCATTTTTTGTGCATCAGATCGTAGTCATATCGTTTTGGACCACTAACACATTCGATCAGTCTAACTTAAAAATAAAGTAGTTCATTAAAAATAATTTAGACGTAACTCACCTTATCGGCGAAGATAACCAAATTTGTTTATTGGGAGGTTGTTTGTTAAGTACATATGTTCCTTCTGAACCACATTTAAGAGTTAGAACACCGCTCTAAGGCCATATGTTAAATAGAGGATCGACCATAAATTACAATAAATTACAAATAAATTATCCGGTAGAAGAATGTTCTCTGAGGAAATGATCTCGAGCAAATATTAAAAGACCATTAACGAACCATTTTACATTGACTCACCGAGTATTCAATATCGAAACCATTAAAATCAAACTGATCGTTCAAGTTTTCAAAAAATTCCAATAAATGCTCCATTGTTGCATCTGATATTCGATGATAATCTGAATCTGACAGATCACTGTTCATTGAATTAAATTTGTTAACCGTTTTCAAATAATATAAAATAACTCATAAAATGATAAAAATTTAACCTGATAGTAAAACAAGAATTTGAATTTAGATTGACCGCAGTTGAACCATAGCTATTAGAAGAAACATTTTTCGTATGACGACGAAAAAAAAAGCGTAAAAATGGAGAAAGACGAAAGGTGAAGCCTCCTGACGAATTGGCAAAACCCCTACGAAAGACCCCTGACGAAAGACAAGAATCCTGACGAAAGACAAAACGTCTGGCGAAAGAAACCCTAATAAAAGACGAATTCCTAAGAAAGATAAAAGGCTGAACTGTAGCTGGTAGACGAAGCCATTTTACCATGGTGCTAAGAGTCGAAGTCATGGGAAGACATTCATACGATTGGTTAATTTTGTAGATCTACTCGTGATTTCCTGTGATAATTATTCTTATCTATGTAAGCATCTGTATCACTTATTACAATAAACCAAATATTCCGAATTAATAATAAAGAGGCGTGCGAAAAGTATTTAAAATTCCCTAAACGAATTTGCTACAATAAAAAAAATCATTTAAGTCACGAAGTAATTTGGAAAAAGTGTGAACGTAATTAGTATATGAAAAAGGTTGGCGTTTACATCAGAAGTATCGGATAACCGTATTATTACGTATGCAAAAGTTGTCATAAATCATTTGTAATAATGATAAAATATACAACGTAGTATATGCGTGAGTTAGATAAAATAGATATGTACGGCAAATATACAGGTTACGACTAGGTCTCAGGCCTGGGCGTTGCTCCGGGAATAGACCTTAATTAATTTAGGTCTTAGGCCTGAGCGTTGCTCCAGGAATAGACCTTAATTAAATCCAGGCATTGTTCCAGGAATAGGTCTTAATTAATTTATATTTCAGGTCTGAGTATTGCTTCAGAAATAGATTTTAACTAATTTAAATCTTATTTAAATGTTATTTTAAAAATAAATTTTAACTAAATTAAGTTTTAGATCTGAGTATTTTTGTTAAAATTAATCTTATCTAAATTTTAGCTTAAATGTTGTTTTAAAATAGATTTTAACTAATCTAAATCTTAGTCTGAATGTTGCTTTAAAAATAAATTTTAATCAATCTAAACATTATTTTAAATGTTATTTTAAAAATAGTATTTAATTAATTATAAAATTTTTTTTTTTTGGTGTTAAGGTGAGGTTTTGCCTTTATCTTTATTATTAATTTGTTTTGGGCAACTATGAGAGTTGACACAGGCCGAAGTCAATTTACAAATTTTTTACAAGAATGAGACTCGAACTATAAACAAAATTATTATCTAATTATATTCCATGATTCTATATGTTTGCCCATGAACATTTCTGATGATATTTTTATGATGATGTAATGATGTGAAAATATCAAAAATTATTCCACGGCATGACATCATCAGTAAAAATTTTCAATCAGAAATGTTACAGGCATAGGGACCATGAAATATAACAGATATTCAATGGTGTGCTGTGACATCATGCATTATCACGGCTTCATCATGCTAATTCATGATATTCACAACAGCTTGTGGAATATCTATTACTTATCTAATTTATCTGTAACCTAAACCTACTAGAGTGGTTAAAACTCATCTAGATTTGATATTGTAAGATATTATTGGTAGGGATACTATAGTTTATCTATTCAGGTATCCATTTGAATAGTTTTTTATTTACTTTTCCTTATGGTGGGCAAATATAAGAGTTGTAAAAGTCACCTGTGTGCTGTTGGTTTGGAAGTCTACAAGTACAACTGTAAGTATATGATAGTTGGGTTTGTGATAATAATTTGATTGAGGTATTAAAGTTAGTTAGTTGATTACGTAGTGGTTGGTTAGAGATATTATTTTACTGTTTCTATTCTGATAGTTTGATACAGTATGGTTTCCATATTTGGTTATATATGTTTTGAGATAATTGGATTAAGAATTTTATTGTAGTATCGGTTGCTGACTGGTTGCTAGTAGTATATTCTTGTATAGTATTGATTAATATAGTTGGAATGAAGTCTTGTATAGTTGTGTATATATTTGTATAATTTCTACTAAGGTTAGTTAGAGAGATAAATGGGTGATTAATAAGTTTGCTGTGTAGTTATTGTAATTGTATAGTTGTTATATCTAGTCATGAATTGTTAAAGAATTGTTGTATTGTGTTAATAATAATAAAGTTTAGTATATGTGAGTTTGGACATGTTAGCTAGTATAACTGACTGTTATATATATTATATGAAATGCAATATTTATCTGGGTATATAGTTAAATAAAGAGAGTGAAGATGAGATAGTATAGGTAGTATTCCTAACATAAGTTTGACTTTAAAGATTTTTTTGTAACATAAACTAAAGCTAGTATAAGATGTAGATCTTTTGTGATTGTTATTAAGAAAAAGCCAAGTGGCTTCCCAGTTAATTAATGAGAATAAAGGTAAAATGTTTTCTATTTGGTTTTGAGAGAACTACATTGCTATATTATAGGTATTGCTAATGTTTTTAATTGTTCTACATGCAGATTGCTCTATAGGATATTTGTCATAATAGAGGTAATATGATAGATTGTATATATTGTTATAAAGAATAGTAAGTATATATAGTTGATTTGGGTTTTTGGCTAGTTTGTCAGCTATGTTGTTAAATGTGTTGTTGCTATGTGCAGTTACTTTTTGGAGATGTACTTGAATTTGGTATACATTAATGAAGTTGAGTAGTATATGCCATATTGGTCAATAGTTGTAGGAGTATTGTCTGTTAGGTGTAGGTGGTGATTGTATAAGTTTGTTGTATTTTGAAATAATAGATTGTGAGTCTGTATATATTATTATAGTGCTTATTTTTGGATAAGTTGTGATTGAGGAAAGAATTGCTATAAGCTCTGCCTTATATGATAAGGGCCAAAGTTTAATTTCTGCAAAGTATTGATGCAAAATAGTTTTATCTTGAATTTGAATCCATCCAATACTTATTTTGCATCTATTATTTGTAATGTTATTTACAGAACTATCTGTATAAAATATAAATTGTGAATGCAGTAAGTTGTTTTGTGCAATTAGTTGTAGGGTTTGTGCAGCCTGATTTTGTGTAAAAATATCAAGTATAGCATTGTTATATATTGTGATATTAGGTTGTGAAGAAATTGTTGTTGGGTTTTGAAGTGTAATAGAGTATAGTAGATCTAGTAGATTTGCATGAAGGTCTAGGGTATTGGAAGAGTTGGAGTTACTTTTTCTTTCAAGGAACTTAGTTGTAAGATTAGTAGGGATATTAAATATGCATTTATTTTGTATATGATTAGAGTTAAGATAACATCCTGTGCATTGTTTGCAGATGTAATTGACTGGAAGGTATAGTTTAGTGTATGATAAGTCGAAGTTAATTAGCTAGTGTGTTATGGATATTGTATCTTCTATTTGATTGTATTTCCATGTCTTGCCAATAGCAATATTGTTGTTATTATAGTCATATGAAATTATCCAAGGTTTAGGTGCATGTTTGTAATGTTCAATAGTAAATAATATAAAATTAATGTTAGGTAATTGCAACTGAGGATTTATTAGTCTTGATTGATAATCAGTAATAATTGTATTTTCAAGTGTA